AGCCTTGAGTTAGAAAATGATAGCATAATACACCGTGTCTCTAAGTTTCAACTGAAATAGGAGTCTTCAAAACAACTTCTGAACCAAACATTTCTTCTTGAAATAATGGAGGGAAGTGGTGGTTTTAACTTAATATTTAATTGCCAAGGATAAACGATAAAAACCACTCTCATTCATCACCCCATTCATCACTCCATTCATCCACTCTCTATGTGCTCACCCTGCATTATTTTCCTCCATAGTACTTAGTACCATCACATGTTACAAATTCACTTATCATGTTCTGCCTTTTCCAGCAGAATGCCAGCTCTGAAGAGCCAGGGCTTTGTCTTGTCCACCCATGCGTTCTAGTGCCTAGAACAATATTTATTATAATATTTCATAGGCTTGCAGTACATTTTTGCTGAATAAAATAATCTCTGTAGTGATATCTATATAATATTTGATAAAAATGAGTTTATCCTTATTTTGAAGGTGTGGGCTTATAGAGAAAAATAAAATTCTACATATAATCTAGTGTAGCTTTGAAAATTTTACTTCAAAATAAGAGTAGAGAAATAAAAAGATGTGTACTCGCTGCTAAACACACCCTAACCTTAATATAATGAAATGCCTCTGCTCTTGGAAACCAAAAACTATATGCTTTGAATACATCACTAATGTAAATAAATCTTTCTGCCCAAACTTAGGCATCTTTGTTATTAACAAAAAATAATTCATTTTCCAAGTAAAATTTAATGCTATATTCTGTACTATTGACACTATTTTCAGAAAATAAAGCTAAGTTAAATATACTCTCCAGCATTTTATATTCAAAATTTCATGATGCTATTTACATTTTATGGATTTATTTATTTATTTAGAGACAGAGTTTCACTTTTGTCCAGGTTGGAGTGCAATGGCATGATCTCCACTCACTGCAACCTCCACCTCCTGGGTTCAAGCAATTCTCCTGCCTTATCCTCCCTAGTGGCTAGGAATACAGGTGCACACCACCACGCCTGGCTAAAATTTTTTGTATTTTTTTTTTAGTAAAGGCAGGGTTTCAGCTTGTTGGCCAAGCTGGTCTCAAACTCCTGACCTCGGGTGAACCACCCATGTTGGCCTCCCAAAGTGCTGGGATTGTCAGGTGTGAGCCACTGCACCTGGCCTATGGATTTATTTATATGCAGTGTCCTTAAATATTTATGCAGCTTCCTACCAGAAATTTCCATTTCTCTAAATCCTGTTCATAGTCTCCACACACAAATCATTTATTATAGCTTAACCAACTCTGCCAGGTAGAAATGATCTCTCTGCTTGCAGAACCTCCTGCATACTTTCAATGAGTTTTTAAATACAATTAATTCGTAATAAATCATTTGGCACCTAAAGTGAAAACAACTGAAATAATTAGGAAAAACTATAAGTACATGTAAGAAGCAGGAACATAACTGCCCTGGGAACCAGCCAAGGAAATCCCCAGTACCTGCCATGTGCCTTAATCTCTCAGTGCTTCCATAGCTTCCTTAAAGTAAGACAAGCGACTGGCGTGGTGGCTCATACCTATAATCCCAGCACTTTGGGAGGCCAAGGCTGGCAGATCACAAGGTCAGCAGTTTGAGACCAGCCTGGCCAATATGGTGAAACCCTGTGTACTAAAAATACAAAAATTAGCCAGGTGTGTAGCCCCAGCTACTCAGGAGGCTGAGACAGGAAAATCACTTGAGCCTGGGCAGAGGTTACAGGTTGCAGTGAGACGAGACTGCGCCACTGCACTCCAGCCTGGGTGACAGAACAAGACTCCATCTCAAAAAAAAAAAAAAAAAAAAAAGATAAGTAACCATCTATGGGTTTATAAATTTGATATGATAATCAGAGGTCTTTAGAATTCTCTATTATGAGAAATATGGATTCAGCTGTAGGCTTTGGACAGGATGGCAGCTCCGGCTCTGCAGCAAGAGCTGAGAATGTGCTGGCTTGATACACTGATGCTCAAGAAAACAAGCTGGGCATGGTGGCTTACATCTGTAATCCCAGCACTTTGAGAGGCCGAGGCAGGCAGATCACAAGGTCAGGAGATCAAGACCATCCTGGCCAATGTGGTAAAACCCTGTCTCTACTAAAATATAAAAAATTAGCTGGGTGTGGTGGTGCGCATCTGTAGCCCCACCTACTCAGGAGGCTGAGGCAAGGGAATCACTTGAACCTAGGCGGTAAAGGTTGCAGTGAGCCGAGATCACACCACTACACTGCAGCCTGGCGACAGAGCAAGACTCTGTCTCAAAAAGAGAAAATATAAAAAGTCCATTTTAAAAAAGGTTTACTACAACTAAAAATAAGTACAAATTCTGATAAAATATTTCACAAAGCTACATATTACAAGTTTACGAGTTATTCAGAGGATGCCTTTATTGCATGCTGGGAAGATAATTCTGTCTCATATGACAGAATTAAGCTAACTAAGGCAGTAATTCTGATAATGCCCTGGCTCTAAGCAACCCTGGATACTTTCCTGTACAAAGTGACAATGCTGATTCATTCCCTCAGGAATAACACAGCCTCATCACACCTCACCCTCAAGAAAGCCTTAGCAATCCAAAGCTACTCTGGCAACTGTGAACTTCCCTCTATCGCTTTGGTCACTCAGAAAGGTCATCGTGATATCGCTAAATAACTAACAAAGAACTTGCAGAAGCAGAATTAGTTATCCTTCCATCCCAAGTGGGTCACCAGCAAAATGACTTTAAACACGTCCTAAAGACATATAATTATCTCCTTTATATTCCTCCACTATTTCAGTGGCTCTCAAACTTTATAGAGTATCAGATTCATCTGTAGACTGAGACCATGTTAGCTTAAATGGTAGACTCCACAGGGACCCTGATGCCCACCAGCGTCCTCCAGGTGCCAGCCAAAGCCCAAGTGCCCTTTTAAGGCAGGGGTCCCCAACCCACCCCCCAGCCATGGACCAGTATCAGTCACCAGTATTGGTCTGTGGCCTGTCAGGAACTGGGCTGCAGAGCAGGAGGTGAACAGCGGGCAAGCCAGCATCAGTACTGCCTGAGCTACATCTCCTGTCAGATCAGTAGGGACATTAGATTCTCCTAGGAGCGTGAACCCTACTGTGAACTGCTCATGCAAGGGATCTAGGTTGTGTGTTCCTTGTGAGAATCTAATGCCTGGATGATCTCAGGTGGAACAATTTAATCCCAGAACCATTCTCTCCCTACTACCCCAGTTTGTGGAAAAATTGTCTTCCACAAAACCTGGTCCTTGGTGCCAAAAACATTGGGGACCACTGCTTTAAGGGCTCAGAAGAATGAAGACTAGAGTGGGTCCTCATTATTCTTAAAAATATATATATATCAGAGTACTTGGAAGACAGTGACTTTTCTGTCAGTTGCTTTAATTTGTTCTCTAATCTCTTAATTCTAAGGGAACATATAATATGGTATATAATAGAATGCAAAGAAAACATACCAGTCTGAATGTTTGGTGTTATTAATTTAAAAAAATACATACCTTTCTTAAACACACAAAAAACTAAAACATTTTATGTATTTACTAAAAAATTGTTATAATTCAGAATATCTCAAGACATGTATAAGCATCAAAATAACAAATCAGGCCAGGCTCATGTAAAGTGCCAGCAAAGCACGGTATTGCATGACATCCCTGCTCTTCTCAGAAAGGACACGGTGAACTCTCCCCCAAAACAATGTAAATACATGGAGCTGCATCCAATGTGTATTAATATTTATATGTATGCTTTGATGAGTTCTAAAAGTACCCCATTATAGGTGCTCATAGGCAAGTAGAACATGAAATGTTATCCTGTCTAATCTGGATAAATAAGTCCCTAAATTAAACTTCTAAAAAAAAAAAACCTGACAGTTTAACTACACATCTCAGGAAATCGCCTCTACACGGGTGAGTCACTAGAGTACATTTTGCTATAGGATACTCTAGAGGCCATTACAACATATAAAAATAGGTAAATAATCCTAAAGGTCTGAGTTAAATCTAAAGCAAGGTTATATTACATTCTTTCTTTAAATCTGGCTACAGCAAAGTACAGAAAATGAATGGTGAATTCATAAATAATTCTATAGCTAGACTGCTATAAGGCACAAGAAGACTATCATCCACAGACTCACGCAAAAATAAAAGAGAAAAGAAAGGTAGATTCTTAACAAACAAAAAAAATTTCCAACAAATTTGCATATTATTTTTCATATATAAAAGTGAATTTATGATGTTAATCTACCATATGGGAGGAAATTAAGTCACAGTTCACTTACATCATTTACCAATTAACTTCAAGTACCAAATAGAATTTCTGTAAACCTAAATCTCTTTACTAAGGCATAGCTCAAGCATTACCTAAACATTCCCTACAGGGGCTTTCTGTGCAGTGGTGTCAGAGCTGTTCCATATTAAACAGTCTCAACCATTCCTTATATTTCCAAATTCAGTGATGACTTCTTATATGGTGAGATGTTAACAGTGAGAGAAAAATGTAATGGTTGAAATAATATTAAGAGAGAAGTTCATGTTACCCCTATTAGGAGATTTTAAAATGAAAGAGCAGGAGGAGCTGGGCATGGAGGAGGAAGGGAAGCTATGGCCTCTGAAGAGGATTAAGTGATGACCTACGTAAAGTGAAGAACACTTAGCATTAATTCTTATAATTTCTCTTTTTTTATTTAAAACTTTAGGGCTAATATAACTTCTAAATCTTTCTGCACACTTTCACATTTAATTACCCTTGTCTAGTAACACACTAACATATTACTTTTAAAAAGAACTTGAACACATTTTCCAAATATCACATGCCTCAAGGGATATATTGATAATTTTCAGTTAGATTACATTAACATGCACTATCACTAAAATACACATATACACATCTCAAAAGAACATTACGGCTCTGGAAGCACCCTGAGTTTATAAAGACCCTTAGTCATTCTAAAATGTACAAAGGAAATATGTGTTCTGGAAAAATTAAGTTTACTTACTTGTATTGATCAGAAATTGATTGGACACACCAGGATGATCTACATCATGTATTGCACTGGCAAAAATTGCTGCGAGAATCTCCAAATCTGTAAACACAGCCTGGAAAATCAGACAATATAGATAATATTACTATTCTACAATGATAACAAAAGTATAAACAAATGAGAAATAACTCTAGAATTTAAATGGAAAACAAAATGAAGCTTCATGTTTATCAAAATGTGTCAAGAGAGTCTGAGATACTTATGAACTTCTAAAGTATAAGCTTGGAAGAAAATATTTTATCTAATTTTATTACATATCATGATCAAATCTTTTCCATTCACTGTATTTTTTAAAATATTATTTTAAAACTATCAAATTATTTTTAAAGAAAATAAATTTATTTTCTAAGTAAGATGCCTAAGAATATTCTGAAAATGTACATAAAATTAATAATGACATGAGCAATTCTTTTCTTTTCTCTCATCGAAACCAGGGATTCTCAACTTCACAACTTTTGGGCCAGATAACTCTTTACGTGGCAGGCTGTCTTGTGCGTTGTAGGATTTTTAGCAGAACTCCTGGCCTCTACCAACAAAATGCCAGTATTATGTACAACTAAAAATGCCTCCAGACATCACCAAATATCCCTGGTGCTGGGAAGAGAGAAAGAAAGGGGAAGAGAAACCATCTCCAGTTGAGCATCACTCACCTACATGATGAGGTATTAACATAATTTTATAATAAAAACTGAATTATAAAATACATTTCTTAAAAATTAAGAAAATCAAATTGCTTTACTAAACAACTAATGAAACAACTTCTTAGGATTTAGAAAAATTAAAGAAGTGTTTCCTTCTAATAAATTCCATGAAAAAAATCAATGTGTTGCTTATGTCTTATAAAACAGTCATTCTTTGACCTATAAATAAAAGCCATCAGACTCCATTTCCAGAAAACAAATTAACAAAAAATGAATAAGCTAAATTTGCTTTATGAAACATCCAGTGGATCATTTCAAAGAAGCAATATCACAAACAGATCAATCACTAAATCTGTGACCAACTTTCATAAGCAAAATCCTTCAAAGACTTGACTATTAACCCATAGCATTTTCTCCCTTTAAGTCAATAAATTATACTTCCAGTGAATCCAATTATTTTCTCTACTGAAAACCCTTCAGTATAAAAGCTTAATAGACTTTTATGAGTGGCAAGTTAGTGTTCTTGAAATTTCAGAAAACAAATTTACCTCCAAAGCAGGTGTAGATAATAGCACATGAGTAGACTGGACAACATCTGCAGCATGGATATTGTTGTGATAGGCCACATCAGCATGGTAATGGTCTTCGAGAGTCATAAGATATGTAATTAAAGTATCTACTGGAATTTTAAATGTTTTTAATAAATCCCGTTCCTGTAGGAAAAAAAAATCATGTTAGCATTTTTGTCTTTATGTAAAAAATTTCTCCACAGAGTATGTTAACAAAAATCGCACACCAGTGTTGCCAATGGATAGCCTGGAAACGACAACTGTACTCTCACATGTCTAGTGAGGGAAATGGGAACCTCTGGGAAGGTCCAGGGACTTTGGGACAAAACCAGAGTTGGGTTTTCCTTCTGGAACCCAACAATACTACACCCTAGCTGTATGGTGTCAGGATAGGTGCCAACTCTAAAAGTTTCTGTGCCCCATTATAGAGGCAGCTCCTGGCAAGCATGATTAACTCAACCACTACATCTCACCAATTGAAACCCACGCGCCCTCTCTAGGGCTGGAGTTTCCCATTCCAGTCCCAAGGTATCTACAACAGCCTCAGTTTCTCATTTAAATCCCACCCTGAGCTGCAGCAAAGGGTGAATAAGAGTGAGAAATGGATATGCAAAAGGAAGCAGGACACAAGAAAGTGACTGAAAAAAAAACTATAAGGTTAGCCAGCGGGGGCTTTATTCATTTTTTTTAAAGTTAGTCCTCCATTGTCTCTGCTAGTCAGATTCACAGAGATGATGTCTAAATTATTATTTTAATGAACTGCTTCATTCAGGCTGTATCACATCTTTTTCTTAAATGCAAAAAAAAAAACAAAAACAAAAAAAAGAACGATTGATGTATTTGTGGTTTATCCACAACTCCACCTTTCTGTATCTTGTCCCTTGGCAAAGGAGCAAATAAGGATAAAAGTATAAAAATAAGCAAAAGATGGGGAATATTTAAAAAGACAAAATGTGTGCACAAGCTACAGACTGGACATTAAATTCCTAAATAAAAGAAATGTAATAGAACTCAACCACCTTACCTGAAAAATGGTGTGCATGATAACAGTCAAGGGCCGGTTACCAGACAACTCTGCTATTCTGAAAACATGAAGACCCCATTTGTTCACATCTTCTAGTTCCTGGAGTAAAAAACAAGATACCAAAAAATTAGAAAGTGGAGTAAAATATGATTCCATGAACACAATCATTTAAAAATTACAGAGTTTAGGTGGCTGGGCGTGGTGGCTCTCACCTATAATCCCAGCACTTTGGGAGGCCAAGGCAAGCAGATCACCTGAGGTCAGGAGTTCGAAACCAGCCTGGCCAACATGGTGAAACCCCATCTCTACTAAAAATACAAAACAGGCATGGTGGTGTGCGTCTGTAGTCCCAGCAACTTGGGAGGCTGAGGCAGGAGAATTGCTTGAACCTGGGAAATGAAGGTTGCAGTGAGCCAAGATTGCACTACTGCACTCCAGCCCCAGATACAAGGTGAGACTCTGTCTCAAAAAAATATTAAAGACTTTAGTATAAAGATTGTTAGATTTATTTAAAACAATTATTCATTTTACATGTTAACAAACACACCATATAAGCATAGGCAAACTTTAGGCACATTTACTTATACGTACTGAAAACTGAATAGTATTGCTTAACCTTATGACTTTGACATTACAACATGTTTATGTACTTTAAATATCAATCACAAAGCATTTCTTCAATGGATAAAATCTATTCACAAAACCTTAACTATTCTCCTAAAACCCAGAAGACAGGACAGATTTCTAACTCGTTAAGGCCAAACAACAAAATGAAGATGCAGATAACTGACTTCCAATCCCCTAAAACGTACACACCAAACCACCTGTCTAAGGCACTTTACAAGGAGCTTTATAAAATGTCTTTATATCTTCAAAAAAAAAACCCAAATTAATAAACTTTCCTATCCATTTAAAAGTGAAAATTTATGGAAGGGCATCATTTAATATTGATGATCATGATCTCTGAAATCATCATACCTTGGCAAGGACATCTTCTTGTTCAGTTTTAACTCCAAACCTTGGAATACTTGAATTAGTCAGACTAGAGCTGTGCATCAATTTCTTGACTCCACTGATCTGAGACATTGGTCTTTTCTTTTTCTCCTTTTCCTTCTGAGTTGGAGATGGAATTTCCACTTCATGTTGCTTATCTTGAGAAATTTAGGAAATGTTCTCTATTATTAATTCTATCTGTTTTTATATCATCACATGCATAACTGGAAGGGTTATAATTGATCATTATATATTCCAGGAAATGTTTCCAGCTACAAATTTTTCTTTTAGAGAGCTCAGTATTTACATTTGAATTGGACTTAATTTCATATCTTCCAACACAAAATTAAGCAAATAAGTCCACTACAAAATAATAACAAATGTATTCCATAGTTACCTCTTTGATACAATGTCCTAATAAAAAATATTTCAAGACTTAGCATGACAGCAGACTCAGAGAATACACAACAGGTGGTTATTTCCACTGTTCATCAATTCCATTCCTATTTGAAATTGACTTAGTGAGCTGAAAATTACTCTCTGCCAACTAAGGACTCCAGTTTCAATATGTACTTTGAAATGGTAGAAACTTTATACACAAATGTCATAAAAACAGCAGTATATAAAACTAACAGCTAACTGAAATGGGTAACACAGTGAGAGTTGAAACAGCAGGTTTTGGATGACTTAGATTAATTCTGCTACTTTTAATTTCTGTATTATAGTAAGATAAGGGTTAAATCCCCAGGTTTTATGGGGAGCATAGAGAATTGTAAATATCTGATAAGTAAATACGCACATAAGCTAACTGTGTACTATAGCAAAAGACATAGATGTCTTCGTACTTTCTTCCACTATTTCAAGGCAGTGATGAACAATAACTCATCCTTGTACACAGCACATATTCCAAAGTGTTTAAAAAATATGTTAATTAAATATAACAGCAATTTTGTTTTGAAAGTATATCCAGGATACATTCAATTACTGATCTTTATTTACTGCATTTTCTTTCTGTGGATGAGGTACAAGAGTTGTCCCAGGACACCAAACTCAGCCATTATTAGCAAACTTTTATCTAGCATTTGTGTTTTATCCACCCACCAGTTTACTAGGCTTGATGTACGCTAGATTGTCAATTCATCAAGGGCAGGAATCATTTCTAATTTGTCATTCAACACCTATTGCCCAACAATGGCTGGCATTTAGTAAGAATTTGTTGAATATATGAATAGATCTCTCTATAAAATATATTTTATAGTTTGGTACTATGAAAACACTGGCAATATATAACCTTAACTCGATAATTCCTAAAGTCCTAAATAAAACTAAAAAAAATGTACTTTGTGACGTGAAACTCTAAAACTTAGAGGTGTATAGTGTCAAATTTTTAATATGATGAATGAAAACAAATAGAACTTCTAACACTTGTTTGGTTCCCAAAATGAGTTGGCACCCCAATCCTCCTCCAAAAACAAGGAAACAACTGAAGAAAAAGTTTTTAATTGCATGTTGTTATTCTCACCTAAGAATGTGTTTGATATATACTCTGATACTTGATTTCCAGACCGACTCATTTCAGAGAGATGGGTGAGCTCCCGATTAAGCATCCTTTTAAACTGAAAAACAAAAAAGTAAAATGAAGTAATAAAAGAGGAAAGTTTAAGTGAAATGCATATGCATACTGTGAGATACAGGAATATAAGTCCAAATAATTTTTAAATTGTCCTGACAATTTAGATCAGTGCTTTCCAGCAGAACCTTCTTCAATGAGGGAAAAACACCATAATCTGTGCTGCCAATTACAGCCGCTACTAGCCACAGGTGGCTACTAAGCACTTGCAATGTGCCTAGAGCAAATAAGAAACCAGATCTTAAATTTTATTTAATTTCAACTATTTTTAATTTAAATAATCACATGTGGCTCATGGCTACCATATTGACCAGCACAAATTTAGACACTCAAGGACTGAAGGGAAATTCAGGAGAAATAAGGAAAGAAAGGGAATCAAAAATTAAGATGTATTATTAGTTATTTAGAGAAGAGAGAAACTAATTTATAGCACATAAAAGTGTTGCCATACAATAAAACATGGAATACTTTCATCAATTAATTTATCATTAGCAGAAATGAATATATATACTGACCAAGAGATTAAAAATTAGTCTTTTACTCCAAAGCAAAAATAGATTTAAGTACTCTTCCAGACTATGGAGAGGTAAAATTTTTAAATAAATAGTGTATAATGTTTCCTTTTAAAAGTTGTTTTTCAAGTAAGAGTATAACATTTATTAGTTCTCAACATCCACAAAATTTACCAACAGTTTCCCAAGTCACTAAATAGGCAACAGGTCAATTTTTCAATACTCTACTTCACAATTTTTCTAGTGCCTATTTCATGCAAAGAAACACCGGAATTAACCTACCAGCACCACATAGCATTACCAGTATCTAAAAATCTCAAAGATTTTATACTTCCCCACCCATCAGCTGTTTCTTAGTATGTCTTTCCTTTGACTCTGAAAATAGCCCAACGAGGCCTTTTAATAAGTCTTTAATATTTGCCTTAATATTCAGAAACAATATATTTTTTCTATACATAGAGTGCTATTAGACACTTGACAAAGTCAGCATTTACTCTAATCATCAGATTAACCTTTAAAATTTGAAATTTCACCATAAACTCTCATTTAAGTGTGAAGGTGAGTGGTGAGTTTATATTTTAGTAATGTTTGAAATGTAATTCTTACTTAGTATTTAATTTATTTATTTAGAATTATTTTTTAAATCTTGCTTCTCTGCATACTTCATACCAAGATGGCCTAACTCTATACAGTTTGTTAAATAACTTCCAAAGTCAATCTTATAGACCATCTAGATTAGGTTTTAACCCAGCATTTAATTGTTATCAAAACAAACAAAAAAACTCAACATTCAATGGACTGCTGGAAGAGAGAAATGTGTATTAGCATTCCAGTGCAAGACAAAGAACTGGCATTACCAGGGCAAATTCTGGCTGTTAAATTACTGGTCTAGAGAGCTTAGTCTCAAACTCAGGAACACTAAGTTCACTTTCTTTGCTCACATGTTGTTATAACTTTTTTCTAATTATAAAATGTACATGTGCTATGGAAAATTTAGAAAGCTTATCAAAAAGAGAAAATCATGTAAATCCCCACCGCTGGAAGACAGCCACAGATAATTTGTTAAATTTCCTTCTATGCCATTTTCTACACTTGTAGGTGAATACGTGTTTTTAAAACTGGCATCAAGTAGTTTACAGAACATGAGTTACTGCTTGTGTTCACTCAGCATTGTATCTTATAACCTACTGAAAAAAATTAACTTTGGGCCTTCTAAGAATATATGTAGAGACATTTATAATAGTGTTCAAAAATTTTTCTGTCCCTCTTTACAATGTTAAATTTTCTTGAATAAATTATAGGCTATCAATGTAATGAGCTAATATAGAAAGTGTCTTCTATTTAGCCTGGGACACAGTAGATGCTCAGTATTATTTCCTTCTCCCACCTCCCTTTCTGGCACTCAGTCCCTAACCTTTGGGCCTTTTATAGTAATAGCAAATTTTTATCTTTGCAGATCAGACAGATGAAGGATTTGACTATAGTTATGACCATAAAAATAGTTATCTATATAGTTAGGTCCTCTTTCTCAAATCCCATAAAGACTTTGGACTAGCATTAGTATGAGAAACCATAGCTGTGTCTCAAAACACAACTAAAATGTCATGCATACACAGGTTTAAAAAAAAATCTTAGGCAAAGCATATTCCAAAGCAAAGAGTCTGCTAAACATGTTAAACACATATTCAATGAAATATTTCTTTGACCTAAAATTGTTCATGTAATGAGCTAAAAGTTGCTCTTAAGAACTATCTGGTCATGACAAAGTCCTTTTTTATAAAAGATGGGGGAAGAGGCAAGGCTTTCACCACCGCTAGAATCTCAGCAGTTGATACAGGAATTGCTGCCCTCCTTGCACTTCTCTCAAGAAAGTGAAACGAGGCAAGCTTCTGGGAGTGATTGATAAAGTTAGATGAAACCCAGTTATTACAGGTTCATCTTCTAACTTTTACACAACCTAATATAAGGATTATGTTGCCATATGCCCAAGCAGAAAATGTGGATGCTACCTGCAGATACGCTGCATATATTATTGGATTTTTCTCTAAAAGAATATAAAGAACGAAGTATAATTTTCCTGGCTGTTTGCTTAAACAATTCACCAAAATAGCCAGTTAGTACAGAGAACTGAAGAAAAAATGCCAGTGAAAGGAATCTAAATATTGTACAGACTAGATAAGTAATATACAGCATGTTCCATTTTTATCTTTGTGTCATATACATTATTCCCAGATTATTTTCCAGCTTTTGTTTAAAACACAAAAACATGGATTGAAGAAATCCTCCATCACATGCCTACCTCTCTACCAAGGATTTTAAGGGACTCAAGGAAGTCAACATTTCATTTCAACATAATTATAAAAGATAACATTAGAAGCAATCACCTCTCTTCCCTAGGGAGACATTTTAAGGAATTTCCTAAAGATAATTTTCAAAGAGTACATTAAGTTATAACATAAGGGTATTTTCTAAAAGGAATTAACATTGCTTTTTCTTTTTTGCTATCCATATAAAACTTTCAGTCCAGCGAAGCTAAATTAAAAACCACAAAAATTACCATAAGTGCTTTCTTAACTGGTAGTTGATCTTACAAATTGGTTTTGGAGTGCATAGCTAGATGTGCTAAAAAAAATGTGCTAGATCATTCAGCAAACATTTAAAAATGTAAGTGATATTTCTTTCATCTAAAAATAATTATATTTACTAAGATAACTATCTAAAATTACCAAAGGGGGAAGGACTGATTTAAAGCTAATATAGTGTATTCTTCTGGGAATCCCATCACATTTCTCAATTAATAGAGAAGGGACAAAATATAAAACTGCTTTTTGAAAAGAACTGACTGCAAAATGCAGAACCATTTAATTAAGCATTTAGTTTATTTTTTTAAAGTGACTTCTGAATATTTTCCATTGATGAATTTCTAATTGTTTTTGGCCTGAAGAGTCTGAAAACAATACACAGATTTAGGGTTGCAACTAAGAAAAGAGGGGAGGATTTCTAAGTGAATGCTTTTGAATCCTTTGTTCTCATTATACATCAGAATGTCTGTGTATAGCAGTTAAAGGCATAAAGGAAAGTGAAAATGCAATCGAATCTGAATACTGTATTTTGCTTTTCAGAACTGCAATTCTTCAATTTACATTCTGCATTTGAGACTGTTCAGGAAGCAAACTAAAATAATAAAATTAAAATGTTCTTAAATGTAATCTCCTATATCATGCCAATGTGCTACTGGGTATATTATATATCCTCCCAATATATATTTAAAGAGGTGGTATGGGACCAAAAATTTTAAAAAATTGCTTATTTTTTTCCTGACAATATTCTGCTAAAAAATCATTTGAACATGCTGCACTGTGATGCACTACAAGTTTGGTATATCGGTAATCAAAGTTATTTAAACAAGTACTCCATTGACTGCATGAAAATAAATCCTTCAAAATACTTAAAACCAAATATATCTGTATTTGCCATTTTTACATATTTTTAAAGGTACAGTATTAAACATAAAGCTGTCCAGGAAAAATCTTCCTCAAAGAAAAAAGTACTAAAATTCTATATTTAGATTCTTGGCAGTATTGTTCATAATCATAATACAAATGGGAAGGCTTTCAAAAATACATCAATTGTGAGCTGGCTAAAAGCTAAGAGCTGAATTCTGGGGATTAGTGAGGACTTCTTATATTACTCTCTACACTTTTCTGTATTTCTGAAGGTTTTTACCCAAGAAATGGCTAACAAAATTCAATAATGAATATTTTTTAAATTATATATTTTAAAAACATTTTAAAAAATCTGAATCATCCACAGATTTAAAGGGAGGTAAAGAATCATGACTACTTGGACAACTGATACTGAAATATGTTTTCTAATTTTTTTGGAATTCAAGTAATCAAAACAAAGGGGAAATTGTCCTTCAAAAAGAGAGAAACAAAGCCAATGACAAATACTCCAATCTGAAAATCCTCATAGTAACAAAAAAAATCAGTCTTTTAAAATGCGTTGTGATTGGCTCAAATATCCAAGGATAAACTTCAATCTATGAAGTGATGCTTCATTTAGGACTGAATAAGGTTTTTCTACCTCCTGCTTCTATTGTGGAGACAGGACAACAATGCTAATGTTATCACAGGGCATGCAAAAAGCCTGCTAAGCATGGACAATATCTAATTAAATTGTTTATTAATTCATTTCTTGAGATACATAAAACTAACAGTGTAATAAAAATTTTGTTCGGTTTTGCAAGTATAATAATCAAGTTTTTATTCTAATAAAATATCACTTAAATCATAAATAATGTCAATATTTAATATCATCTAGAGCTTTATAGCTAAAGGTGCAAAAAACCTATTCCTCATCAGATTCAAGTAGTACAGATTTTTAGAAACAGCCACATATTAATTTTATAAACCTTATATGTAACATAGCAACTGAAATCCATAAATCAGTATAAGTAATTTCACCCAATAAT